CGTCAATATTGCCACACATAACAATCAATAAAATTTTATAAAAACAGAAAAAATCACAGCTATAAAATAACTAGAAATATCCACAGCCAAATGAAGAAAACTTTAAAACTTTTGAGAAAAATTAGAAATAGAAAAACATGGTTTTGAATTACAAGCATCAATATTGTAAAAGAATATTATTCCTCCTAAATTTATCCAAACATTCAATGTCCACTTAATTAAAATACTAATAGATTTTTTTCCTGGTACTTGACAAAAAGCTATTGACATTCATCTGAAAATATAACTGTGAACATATTGCCAGCAAATTTAAAGGAAAGCATATGCAAAACATATAATGATTATCTCATTCTAAGCACTTTACTAATGCTGGTTTCATTATTACAACTCTTTGAGCTGGGTACTGTTATTATTGCCCTTATTTTACAGATGGGGAAGTGAGCTGTAAAGAGGTTAAGTCCTTAAATTTGAAGGGAAAAACATCAACACAGATGGAGTGGTAGAGTTGAGACCTGACCCAAGCATCCTGGCTGCCTAGTTCAAATACATATCCACGGGCTCTAACGCCTCTCATGGTGGGAACAGACCAGCTCCTCTCTTTCTCTTAGGAGGATCAAATACTTGTATATAAAGAATGAAAACATTACAATTTTAGAAGAAAATACACATTGGTGGATTTGTTTATTATCTTTGAGTTGGAGAGATTTTTCTAAAAAAGACAAGAAAAAACATTAAAAATATTGAAACAATTGACAATATAAAAATTAAATTTGTTTTTATGACAAAATATAATAGAGTAAAAATACCCATGGCAAATTGAACAAAATTATATACATATATATACACATACATATTTCATATATATGTATTTTATAAATGATGAGGAGGTAATCATTAATTTACAGAAATGTTATACAAATCAATAGAAAGGAGACAAATATTAATAACAAAATTGACATTGATATAACAGGTTTAGGTTTTCCCCTTGTGTTGCAGGCCTGGGGGGAGATGAACAGTTGTCGTTGTACAAAAGACACAGAGCCCCACCTGGAACTTTCTCCCCAATGAAACAAAAACCTTAAGCCACTAGGGGCAAAGCCACAAACTCTCCCCGTCAGGCCACAGGTGAAGACTCACTATAGCTGAAAGTGAAATACAGACATCTCTATACTCCTGGGGAAAGACAGGAAAACATCGTGATAGTATTTGCATTGGCTTCTGGAAGCCGTCTGCCAAATGAAGCTCTAGGTATTCACAGTGGTAATTGCTTGATATGCAACTTTCTCAAGTCTCCACATTCCTTCAGCCTTTCTCTAACCTTCCAAATGAACTGCTTACACTGAATTCCTCAGGTCCTGCTTCCCAGCATCTCATGTCATCTTTTCTCCTTCCCCTTTC